GAAAAAAACAGAAAAGGATGAAGAATTGAAAGTCAAGAAAGTAAAATAACAAGTATTCAAACAGTATTCTATTTATTCAATACCCACTGAATACAAATTACCAAGATCATAAACCTTAAAGGCACATTTTACCTCAGAAGCGAATTAATTTTTCCTTCTCTATAGAAATGGAAACCATGAGGTTTAAAACATTTAAAAACTAGTTTTAAAGCATGTTAAATGCTTATCACCTGAAAAAATTGGGCTAAATGTAAAATTATTTGTCATAAAAGTAGCAAAATGCAAACAATGTAGTATTTTAGAATTCCACACCAAATAATAAATTACTTTAACACTTCAACTGGACTAATTGCCAAACAACACCAAAAAGATGGTTAAGGTATTTGACCAAAAAGTATCTTTTTAGAAACTATAACGGGTCACCACAATATACAGCTTTTGAGATATGAAGAACAGCATTTCTAAGGCATAATGGACATTTAAATACAAAATGTTTATTTCCTTAATGAAAGCATACATTGTTATGCACGTGACGTGAACTAAAACAAATTCTATTACTATTAAAACTTCGGTTTATGATGAGACATCTAAATTTTGACAATTTCTTAATCCATTAATTTATATAAATCCTCATACATCAAATTCATGTTCAATTCTATTAAACTTTTGATTACGCATATGGCATAAAAATGTCATTATATTTTTATTGATTGAATTGACATATATTTATGTTATGAATTTGATTTTGTCTTTATTATAATAAACATATATACTATGTAAATATACACACATCATATGAAATACATCTTTTTCCGACTAAATCCAGGGTTCAATTCAAGGACTTGAAAAAATAACAACCCGCTTGATTTAAACTGAAGAATATGCATGTTTAGGAAAATACTGTTAAGACTTAAACAATAAATACATTTATACGGTTTTTTTTCTGTACATGAAATATACCAAAATCTCGCACTTTAAACATGAAACTTTGTGAGGTCTTTATAGGTAAAGAAATTGAAGTTCATATCTACATTAATGTACGGTACAATTAATGTAAATAATTAGTGTAATTTTCCTAAAGAATCCCTGCGTGACAGGCAAAATACAAATCTTATCAGGATCTTATTTGACAGTTAGTCAGCAAGGAAAATCTGAATCAAATAAAAAAAATAATTCAATATTTTCTTTTACTCTTTTTTCTTATATTATTACCATTACAATACTACTTAAATATCTACAATATAGGTAAAGAAAAAAAGCACCTCAAACGTTCGACATAGAGTTGTCAACTTTTCAAAAAGACCGTTTTACCCTGCTTTGACATTACATGACAGCTAGGGCCCCTGACTGTCAATTGTAGAGATAAAGTTTGACACTTTACAAAAATTGGCCTTTCTTTTGTAATGAGCGCAAAATGGTCTTTTTGTGCAGCCGGTGTATAACTGCTGTGTTCTATAGACTGGCATGCCCCTTTGTAGTCAAATACTGTCGTATTGAGTATTCATTTACTTCAACATATCGTGCTGATTTGACTTTGACGAAAATTGAACAGTTTTAATTGCCTGGTTTTTTGAAATAAATATACCTGATTTTTAATGTCAATGTCTTTTGACTGTAAAATATTAAATAGTTAATATTTTTTTTTTACTATTTTCCATGTTAAACACTGCATTTTTATCAGGCAGATTTTTATGGTGCGATAAACCTTAAAAAAACTTCCTTAAAAAATGGTAAAAATGATTTTTTTGAAATAATTGAATTGTTCTGTATTTCTGTTTCATTAATACTTTTTTAAATCCATCATCAATGATGGCAAAATGAAAAGAATTCTGCACATAGTCATATACTAAGATTTTTTTTCTGAATCTGCTGGGTTGTTATTATTATTATTATAATTATTATTATTATTATTATTATTATTATTATTATTATTATTATTATTATTATTATTATTATTATTATTATTATTATTATTATTATTATTATCTCAAAGGCAACATTACAGCATAGCCATAGACTAAGATGATTTTCTGCATCTGCTGGTTATGTTTTTTATTGCTACAACTATTCGCGCGCTTTTTTTCCAATTTAGTGTCTTCATACCTTGATAGTTTGCACTGATGACCAATACCTGCAGCCGATCGTGTAAAATCGATATGTTAATCTGACAAACAACCAACTTAAACCCCACCTGAACTTAATTCTGACAGATTGACCATAGATTTCTAAAAAAAATCATCATGTTTTTTTTATCCCATATGCAGACGACATTGTTTATGTCCGTTGACAGACAATAAAAATCAAGTGCAAAGTTGAGGCGGTATGAGATGCAGAAGATAGTTTTCCTGGATACGATTTTTTTAAAGAAAATCAAGACTCTTATAAATAGCCCATGCTTATACAAAAATATATTAAAATTTCAAGAAGACTGTATGTTTATTAGTTATTTGCTTTATGAAGAGATGTGTATACATATACTTTATGTGTTGAATATAAAACTTTTATTAACATATCAAAAACAAGAAAATCGAGTTCAATAAACTCAGTAATAAACCTACACGAATATTATATTATATTTATCACATACCCAAAATAAAGACTGTTTAAAGTGAAAAAGAATCATTTTCATTAACGCCCCATAGTGTAACGCTAATATTAAGCGCGTTTTTACGCTTTGCTTGTATAACGTAAATGACGTCACGTTAAAATATAAAAAGCACGGCTGTGCAATACCATTTTACATGTACTAATAAGTAACTAAGAAGTTGCAATTAAAGAAACGTTTTCGTTTTCTACGAAATGAAAGCAGTATATGGCACCCCGAATTTTACGTTGACGTTACACTCAAAGTCAAAATTTATTTCAAATATTACTTTATTGTATATAGCTGTAATGTATAAAAATGCAATGAAATTGAGGCAATTTAACCAGATTGTACGTATTGAACGCCATTATTGGCGCTTTCAAAAATACACCGGAAATAAAAATGTATAGGTCACGTGAACTTGAAAAAAATATGGTTGAATAACGTCATAGAAACAAAAAAATATGCAAAAAAACTGCGATGAACTATCCTTTAATCTTAAATAATGATGCACTTAACTAATTCAATGATGCCGATTTTGTTTTTGTGGGAAACAATCGTCGATGCGCATGCGTGCAAGAAGCGCCAGGATGTTGGCAGTAAATAAAACACCTCATTATGTCTTGCACCGATGAAACATATCTTTTGTTGAAACGGAAGAAACGTTGCTACATGTGTAACTCGAAACACCTTGAGAATGCTATTTTCCTTCTATTTTGTTATCAAATTGTAACTTTTGAGTTAAAATTTCGCGTCGCTGTTTAGCAATGAAAGAGGATACGCGTCAAAGTTGAGTAATACCTGTATATACGATTGTTAACAATGATTTGCACAAATTTTGTACAAATGAGCGTATTGTAAAATTCACTTGTTTTAATTAATGAAAAGAAAGAAAAGGTTCACTGTAAACACTCGTATATAACATATTTGTTTTTAATTAGAATCACATTGAGAAATGTATTGTAAGAAAGTCCTATGATAAACTTCAAAACTATAACAAGATGCTTTGCTATGCTAATGCTTATGCTTAAGCTAATGCTATGTTACGCTACTGTTTCCCCATTTTTGAGACTATGGGGTCCGAAATAGAAGTATTTGAAAGGGGGCATACCTTCATTGATCTTAGAATATATACATGTACGTTAAAGAATGTCCCAGGAACTTCTTATTACTCGGTGAGATCTCATTGAGACGAAAGGAGATCAGAAATATGTACATCCATTCAGACAAAAACTCATAATTATTTTCAAATTGTTGGCTTAATACTGATGCAATTCCGATTTTCATTATTTTTTTAAATACTTGACGTTAGTAACGTCGGTTTTCATTGGCCAATCGTGACGTTTTACATTATCCTTATAATATAAGAGTTTATAACCTCGATTTCCATTGGCCAGTCGTGGCGTTTACATTATCTTTATATTTTTCATTGGTTATAAAATCAATCTGCAAGGTTGAGGCTATATAAAGAATCACTTGTGGAATTGACAATTTATATGTGCTTTATATCTAAATACAGTCGACTCTCGTTATCTCGAAGTCATTGGGACCGTCCAAAAAATATCGAGATAACGAAATGTCGAGATAAACATATTAGGGTTAGAATAAAGCGAAACTAATTTTTACAAAAGACATGTGCATACCTTATGTCAAATAAACTATAATATCCCTATGTCTTGTTTTCATAGCACTAGTCAATATTTGACAAAGTAACATTAGCGGATGTTTACCAGCGGAAAAACGGGTGTCTGTGATAAAAAGACATAGTGAGGTTTACTCAGTAATACACCAATATAGTGAATCGGATATCGGATATGGTTGATTCGGATATCCTCCCGGGTTATTTATCGGGTCTTTTTCGAGATTGTTCGACCGCTGATTGATTTGGTGGTGATGTTGTGAAACAATATTGCAACGATAGCGTTTCTATACTTTTACTTTTTCATTTACATTTAAAGTCATAATGAATTGATACAGTGTTCGAATATTTAAAAAGAATGTAAAATTCACTCATTTTGGACACAAGTCAATCAACACGCTATATAGATTAACTTTTATAAACAAAGCTACACTTGTTACAAACATAATCGGCATTATGCCACGCGCTGTTAATTGAGCAATTATCGTCTAGATTGTGTTATTCACACGTCTGACGGGAACAGACAAAAAAAACTATTAGTCGAGATAAACAAAGGATGATAGTGTGAAAATAACTGTTGGGGCTGAAATTTTACATCGAGATACTGAAAATATCGAAATAGAAATATCGAGATAAACAAATATTTCCAATATAGATAAATAGGGAAGAAAATCGGGACTTTCAAAATTTCATCGAGATAACGAAATATCGAGAAAAGCGATGTCGAGATAACGATAGTTGACTGTACGTATTTTTGAATGAATTCAATTTGCTTACCTCATATTCGTTAAAACCATTGCAATCTGTACGTGGACCCCTTTATACATCTGAAAGAAAAATAGACAAATAGAAATTTCATGTTTCCAGTAGAAAAAAAATATCTCGTTTCCGGTGAACAATATATAGCTCACAGACAAATCTCAGTGAATATATTTTCTTAGAAAAAGATATCGATGTTGGCATCAAAACTATTTGTCCTTAAATATGCTATAATTTCAAAGAAATATGTGAAAAAGAAAAGAGTAAATTTTCCTGTAAGTCAAAGAAAATCAAGGAACATATGTGCCTAGCTACAATGGTGGAAGCGTTCCATGACAAAAGTGGGGGGAAAAGTATATTAATAAAACGTATCAAAAGTAAATAAAAAACATTTATTCACAATCATATAGAAACGTAATATCTGAAAATGTGTTAGGTAGATCATTATTCTGTTTCTGTAATTTAATTTTGCATAATAACTATATTCCCGGTCTCTGCCGACATACTAGTATATATGTTTTCATTTAAAAGCATTTGAATAAGTTAGTGGTATCTAGAGTGCAGCAGTTTATTCGACTGTACAAAATGAAATAAAAAGTATTTGAACAATATAGTTAGGTACGGAAGCTGATTGGTGCTATGCAGTGTCCTGCTGCGATGCTTGATATAAACCAGCTACCGTAAAGTTTCGTTTACTGTATCTACAGAATGATGCAGGTGCGTCAATAACGCACGTGCGTAGAGCTGATTGAACAATTGAAGATCTTGACCTCCAAGCAGATTCGTGTAAATTCAATATAAGTCCACGCACGACTCTAAAAATTAAAGTTCTCTTTACGGACAAAGTTATTAATTTAAGTAAAATCTATACATACTAAAGTATTTTATTTGAAAACTTTCCAAAACATATCGTCGCGACATGGCATATACGGTTATCTTAATTAACGTAACGTGTTGTAAACGTCACGTCATAGGCAAAAAATAAAATCAACTTTGAAAACGGACAAAAAAGACAATGCGATAAAAATGACACTTTTATTCATATGTTGTCAAACATAAGTAAAAATTCGAGAAATGTTGCCATATCTAACGTGTATCATTTCAAATAAGAGAAGTGTATTTTCTTATTAGACACAATTTATGACACCTTCAATATGACACTTAGATAATTTAATACCTGTCACACTGGTAAAAACTACATCGCTTTATTATTTATGGCACAGTATCCGAAAACGTACCTGACCGTTTTCTCTAACAGTCTCTAAAATTTCAGTTATTAATCATTCCAAATGAAATATTTACAATAAAATAAATTCAAAACATTTCGTTTGTTAAAAGCACCGATTTAAACAAAGAGGTATTAGATTAAAGAATAAAGTACTCGTGATCGTATAGACTAGAATCCTTTGGTCACGTGGACGACAAGTGTAAAACTCTTTCCCTAAATGCAATGAGTTCGATTCTCGAAATAGGTAAACTCCGTCCTGAAGTTATAGGACGGGTGGTACGGATGAGTGGGGTTTGAGATTGGGATTACTTAGATAAAGTCGATAATAGCCGCTGTTGGAGTTAATTTCTTCTTTTAAATTCTGCTAAAACTTATTTGTCACACAAACCGAATTATAGTCTGAAAGTCATGCATTCGTGTGCTTGTTAAACACAAATACATGTATCTAAACATCACGTACTGAGTATTTCAGAACATTTTTAATTATCCAATTTTCATTCTACTGGGATTTTGTTTTAATGTAACATGGCGTCGTGGAACATCTTAAATATGTCCCGTATATTTATCAAACTTTATCTTATATAGCAGAAGTAACTAACGGAAAAAGAAGAAATACCCGAAAAGAAAGTGTTCACCACTGGAAAAAAGAAAGGAGAGCTTTGAAACCTCTAAGATACAATGGTATATAATTATATCTTAAGATATCCAAGTTTTTTTTACTACTCCACATAAATTTAATAATAATATATTATAAAGGTAACTTGATCGAGGTACAACCATGATTAACATAATCTCAAAAGCGCCATGAAAAGATGATTTTATATTGAAGAAAGCTATTCTTATATTTCAAGACTAATTAATGCTAATTCATAGCCATGATGTTGTCAATTTGACATTATGTACTATTATTGAGGCATATATTATTAATGTTTACTTTCATCAGAGTATCTAATAATGACACGTGCGTAAGGATAATATCTCTTATTACTTTATTACATTTTTCTTTTTTTGCTTTCTGTTTTGGAAAAAAAAGTTTTGAATTTTGAATTCGAGTTTCTGTTTCGCAGTATCCAATAACTATTTAGTATGTGAATCGCTAAGTGTACACCTCTTATCAATAAAATTTGGCTGACATTGGAACTACTTTTTTCTTCATCATTATCTAATAATCAAATATCAATAATATTTTTTTAGCCGGATAACATTTTTAAACGAAGCATTAATTTTTATGTACGCTAAACAAATGATAATGATAATGATAATGATAATGATAATAATAATAATAATAATAATAATAATAATAATAATAATAAAATAATAATAATAATAGCAACAACAACAACAACAACACTAATGATAAAAACAACAACAACAACAACAATAGTAATGAAATAATTTAAAAAAACCCAAATAAACGCAAATTAGAAAATTAATCTACAATGAAATAAGTTTATATTATAAAAGATTTAAATCAGTAAAACTTCATCTGTAATTTTACCAGATAACTATAATGCCATCTAAAATTTTTAGTTACCATCTTGTATCACACGGTTAGATAGATACATTTATTACAAATTATAATAAGCAGCAAAATATGCCTTTTTACCATAAAAAAATCCGCAATAAATAATCACATCAGTTAACGAATCATTGTTTGTAAAAGAAGAACACACAGTTAAGTCCGTGGTCTATAATTAAACTGTACCACAATAATACACTTCAGCACACTAGCTGCTACTGATACAAACATATTTTTTTTTATATTTTCTGTTTACTTGAACAATGTATCGGGTTTCTAAAGTTATTCGGCACAGGGGTTTTATGTTTAAACTTTTAAAGTCGATACGCGTCTAATTGGCTAGATAGAATATATTATGAAAATAAAAAAGACCAAAACATGTATTCCTACAACCGGCAATGAAAATAGAAATTAAATGAAAACAATGATTTAGGCATTAATGATGATAGTGACGATGGCGACGAAGAAGAAGAAGATGATGATGATGATGATGTTGTCGTTGTTGATGATGATGATGAGCATGATGATGATGATGATGATGGTGATTATGATGATGATAAAAAGGGGATGATGACGACGATGAGGGATTAGATGATGATGGTCATGATGATGATGGTGGTGGTGATGATGACGATGATAATACTGATGATAAGAAGATGATGATGATTATGATAACGAAGACAATGATGATGAAGATGGTGATGGTGAACCGTTGTTTAAGTATTTTTAAACGTTATTTTCCTAGACAAATTTCATACATCCGTCAGGGGAAAAAATACCCTACTTACATGAAAAAAAAACAAATGCTGTCATATTCATCTTACAATGGTTCCACTGTGAAACTTTGAGAACCTTTTCTATTATAGTATATGTATGCAACCGTATCAGCGAGAACTGATCCCTTACTTGAGGTAAGATATAGAATAGTACAATTGCATGTTATTTGTCATTAATGTCGCCTCTGTCATTTTCTAAACTTTGGTATGGTAGTTAAACAGAACTCGAGACCACCCGCCTTCTTTACCATAAGGCAAGAGATGCAACATTAAGGCTACATTTAATGGATTATGCTCAATGTCTGATTTTGCTTAATAAATGTAAATTAAATTATTGAAATTATAAAAATGGTAGTTAGATTTTTTCCAATAAAAAAACATGATTATTCAACACATTCTGCATACCGCTGCTTCATCCTAAAATGTAAGCTATCCGAAACACATAATCCTATACGAAATTTGACACACAATGTGGTATCGTGCTAGGATTTCAATCCTTTCAAGAATGTCAAACATACTAAGATTGTTGATGGTATCATTATCAAGTCTCTTTTTTAATTTTGACGGGTTTTCCCCTGTTTAGAATATAAAATAAAGGAGAGTGGCAAGACCAACAGTTACCGTTGCTTTTGATCGTTACATTGTTTTTTTATATAATAATGTATGTACCGGAGTGACACGGAATTAGACCTGATCCATACGGATTCAATACGACTAACGGATATTAAACCAGTTGAAATCGTTAACCGTCCGACCCATAGTGTATAAAATGCTAAATATCAAATTTCTTCAAGCCCATTACTAACAAATAGCCTGTATATAAAGGCGGTCTAAGGGGCGGGAAATGATTTTTAATGGATCATCAAAAGAGAATAGTAAATCTTTTTGAAATAAATCCAAACAATTATAATTGTTTCCACTTTTCTGACATTATGCATTTGGTATTATAAATGGCGTACGTTCGGTATTTAGCCTTTATATTTCACTGTTTTAATGCGCACAAAATTTCACGCATATTTTGAAAATGACTTTTTCAAGATTTTTGTCAGTTAATGCATTAACATTTTACAAATAATACATTTTAATCACGCGATATTTTTTCGTTTGTTTTCTTTTTTTCTTTGTTGTATAAATGCTTCGACCTTTTGATTTCATTAGTGAGTGAGTAATCAACACAGTGCCCGGAGAAGATAAAAAGCAATAATAATAATAATAATAATAATAATAATAATAATAATAATAATAATAATAATAATAATAAAAATAAAATAAAATAGAATAAAATAAAAATAATAATAATAATAATGATAATAATGATGATGATGATGATGATGATGATGATGATGATGATGATGATGATGATGATAAATGATAATGATAATGATAATGATAATAAAAATAATAATAGACGATGATGATGATGATGTTGCTGCTGCTGATGATGATGATGATGACGATGATGATGATGATGATGATGATGATGATGATGTTGCTGCTGCTGCTGCTGCTGCTGATGATGATGATGATGATGATGATGATGATGAT